TGCTGTCAGGGACTATTAGTCGGTGACAGCCACACAGAACCTTTCCTGAAAAATACCCTCTGAGTGGTGCTCTGCAGGCCTACCTGGGAGCTATTAACACTCAGTTTATTTACCTTATAGCCTGAGAGGGCTCCTTTGAGCCATTACTGTCTTTTGTAGGAAATGAATCACCAGGCATTTGCAATAACTCTGTACACTTTCATGGGACAACTATGCCTTTGCCTTAGGTATGCACGCTATGTATCCTTATGCAGTTTTGCACTAAAATGAATCACTGGGTTTGTGCAGATGTGCTTTTTTAAGTGCATTAGCAGTGGGCCACACACATACACCGTCTCAGTCAAATGTACTGCACAAAAGTAGTTGCCTCCTCCCATCTAAAGATGTAATAAGTCCTCAAGTCCACATCAAACAAGACTGCAAAAATCCTGAAAGGCCTTGAAAAACACCCTTCAGCCATTGCCAAGAACCCTATTTATACACACACACACACACACTACATCAGGCTAGAGCATTTGAAGTTAGTTGTCTTTCCAAAGACAAGTCACACCAATGAGGTTTTCAGTGGGTTCAGTGACAGCACCGAATGAATCAAAAATGGCTTTTTTCCATGTGGGTTTTAATCTGCTTTCACTGTTTATCATGCCACACTGCATTTCTATTCCTCTGGCTGTCCCCAGCTCCCCAACCCCTGGTGGTTCCCTGAACTGCAGCTCCCTGACCAAGCAGGTTTTAAGGTTAGGCAAGTTAAGTGATGGTCTCCCTTATTTGAAGTTAGTTGTCTTTCCAAAGACAAGTCACACCAATGAGGTTTTCAGTGGGTTCAGTGACAGCACCGAATGAATCAAAAATGGCTTTTTTCCATGTGGGTTTTAATCTGCTTTCACTGTTTATCATGCCACACTGCATTTCTATTCCTCTGGCTGTCCCCAGCTCCCCAACCCCTGGTGGTTCCCTGAACTGCAGCTCCCTGACCAGGTTTTAAGGTTAGGCAAGTTAAGTGATTGTCTCCCTTTGCAAGAATAAAGGGTTGCAGAGAAAGCCAATTTACACATGTGAAACATTTTATTCTCCCACCATAACTTCCTTTCTGTTAAAACTGGCAAGAGTGATATGCCTTATTCTCTTAATAATTTACTGAGTACGTGGGAAATTAACAGGAAAAAGCAGCAAAAGATCCTCTGGCCTGATCTAGAAAAGAAGCTGAAGGTCATGAGGCTGCCCACACTGCATCACTCAGGCCAACACCACACCTGAGAGATGAAACAGCTCTTCAGAGGCTCCTACCATGTATCAGAGAGTAGAAAAAGAGCGGGAAGTGGAAGGCCCTCATGAAGGTCACAGATTCCAATGCGTCTTTTATTACCATCACTGAAAAAAGTACATCTCTGCACCCAGTGGTCCTCACTACATCAGAAGGGGAGCCACAGAACTACTGCAGGCGAAGCCAGTGTTTCCATAAAGATACTCTCTTTCACATGAAAGTTGGTTTATGCCTATTTTATCAAAAAGTGTTTAACAATTGCCCACACTGCCCTCATTGCTAGGGAAATAGGATGGTGTCCATCTGGACCACTCCCTGGATGTGCTCTGGGGCTTTCCAAACTAGGAGCATAAGTCCCTCTGGCTTGAGTCTAGCTTCTTTTCAAGAGACTGATAGACTCCATATTCTCTGTGGACTGAACATAAAGGGGCAGATAACATAATACTGAGCAACCATTTCTTGTATGAATCTGGCAGACTCCAGTGAGAGCCTACTAGAACTTCAGTGAAAGCATCTCAGCACCAAATTTGGAAAAGCTGCTATTCGTTTCTTCCTTTCCAGCCAGACCTCTACCTTGCTATACTGCCATCCATTCTGGGTGGCTTCAGGCTTGATTAGCCAGTTGGAGTTTTAAAAATATAAGGAACACTCTAAACAACTGTTCACCTTTGAAAATGCAAAGGTTCGCTGGCTATTACAATCATGTTAGAGTCATGAAAATGCATGTTCATCCTTATCTTATTGCTGCCTTAGCTTTAGACGTTATAATGAAAAGTGCTCTTCAAAGGTATACTTAAGTAGTTCTGCCATGCCAGAGCACAAAGCTGACTGACTCTGCTTATTTTTGCATATTTGTAACAGGAATATGTCCAATAAATGCAATGAAGACTAACAATTCAGATTGTAACACAATGTGAATGGAAATGGTAATTGAAAATACATCTTAGTGTTTATTTTCAATTGACATGGTGCTGCAACATTACAATTGTACAATGTAGACATTTCCTGCATGTCTACAGCATCAGTAGACATACAGTGCCAGTTCTAACTGTAGCAATGTAAAATCAATTAGAAGTACCTATGGAATAACCTTTTAAAGATTGCTGTTCTGTAAGTATGGCTGTTTCTGTAAAAGTTTCCATTTTCAAAACAAAGTTTGAATCAGAGTCCCAGGTCGTTATAAATGTAACAATATGCAAATGGCTGTCAGAATCCAACACTGGCAGAGTAGTTTGTGAGATACCACAGCTCATGTTTATTGCACTGAGTCCCATACCATCACAGCACAGATTTCACAATAAAATGCATGACTTCTGCATGTTGTATCAGGACGTGTGAACAAAACTGATATGGCGCTTTAAGTTTACCTGCAATAACCCCCATACTGACTCATGCAAGTATGGAAAGAAATAAGCACAGGACGGTATTTAAATTCTTTGAGCAAGGGGGGCATATTTCCTCTTTGTAACTGTGCAACACTCATTTTTACAGAGACTAATTCAATGATGGAGGCCAAGCTGCAGCTCTTGAGTCCCAGGTGACTTGAACAGAGCTTAGGTGCAGTTCCCATGCCACAGCCATGGCTATGTCATTAACCAGGATACTGAGTAAAGGCTGAAGTGATGGAGTCCCCATGGGGACTGTTAACATCTCACATGGCTCCGTCCTCAAACTGAGCAAGGGGAAGGAGGCCAGTGAAGTTATCACGTTCTCCTGCTTGGGAATGAATCTGGGACATCCCTCTCCTCACTGAAAAAATGAGGGGGCAATATGGAGATTTTGGTATATGGCTTGTAGAATCAAGAAGCTTTGTGTGATCACTGTACAAATAATAAAGCTTAAAAAAAGACTACCAGCAGTCAATCTCTCCTACCCATATACAGTAAAGACCCTTTCAAGCAAGACCTGGTAATTAAGCCTTCCTCATGAAATACATGAGAATTTGGAGCTCCAGGTGAACCACTTAGATTAGTCCAGTAATATTGTCTTTCAGGCTTTTTTTTTTTTTTCATTATACCACAAAGAACCATTAAGCAAATTAATTACTTTTTAATCTTAGACATTTTTCTGACTTGGTACAATTGCCAAGAGATTCTTGGATAGCCTCAGTGATGAAATTCTTGCCCTTTAAAGTTAGTGTTTACTTTTGAATGCTTTTTTAAAATTTATTTGAAGCATAAAATAAGTCTCCATGGTAAAATATAAATAATTTATCAGCATGGAATGAGTAAGTATTTTCTCTGCAAGTAGAAACAGGACATGTTTTCTGTTTTGCATTATTGATAAAAGGATTTATTTTTACTAATAGCACATACCATTGTTAATTAATATAGAGCTTATTACACAAACATGTAAGAGGATAGATTTTTCCCTCACTCTTTTTAAATAGACATTCTGCACATCACTTGTTTCCGGTGCCTTTTCAGTCTTTGGCACCTGGCAACACAAAACATTCCTCATGGAATGAGTGGTATCAGTAAGAATATTGTCTGCACTGCTTACACATTGATTTGTCCCTAATGTATATAGATTGCATGGATTCAGATAAAGTGTAGGAGGTGCAAATGAATGTGGGCCACTTCAGGTAACTTATGTATTATTTTTCTTCCCTAATACAGGCTTCATAAACAACCAGACAGTTTGGCTAAGTAAGTACATTTCACCTATATTATATCTTATCTTTCTTTAATGAAATAAAAAGGCAAGCTGTTCCTCTTACAGCCATAATTGCACAGTGCAGGTTCCTTGGCAATAAGCAGCAGCAATGCTACTAGGCAAAAAACTCTCTCTCGAATGAAGCATGTAATGATAGGTTTAGCAGGTTAGCAGTGTTTGCTTAGCACACCCACTCTCCTAACAAATACTGATCTTGCTGACTTGCCTATGGGCTAATTGGTTTTTCTTGGCTGTGTTGTTCAGGGCCTCTTTACCTAATGTGAATTAAACTGTTTGGGAGCATCTACCAAGAACAGCTAAGGGATCTAAAGTATGTATAAAGCAGAATTATGAGACAGAAGCCTCAGAAAAGCACAGCTTGGTAAGACAAGTCATTATGTCATGATGCACGGCCTCAGAAATTAAATGTATAAGGTTGTGACTTTGCTTTATACAGCAACTGGGGAAAGGCGTTGCTCTCAGTAAGCTGCTGTATGCAGCTGTGGTAAAGTTTAGAAGAATCCAAACAGGGTGCTAGTCTTTCTTACTGGAATAAACAACTGCTTTCATCTTCCTCAGAAGATTTCAGGATTCCCTTGACTTTAATAATTTTTTTTAAATTATTCTACCATGAAAAACTGAAAGCTGAAAAGAACAGCCACAGGAACATGGGCACTCCATGAAATCCCGGTTCTCAGTATCCCATAAAACTCTGGGAAGGCACTCTGTCCCCCAGAAATAGACATCTTCTTAGAGATAAATTTTGATTTCACAAGCACAAACTTGGTTACTATTAATTGGAGCTGTGCAAGAATCAGAAGTCCACATTCTCCTTCCCTTAAGCCACATAAAAGTAAATGTGAATTGGTATGACTGATTATGTACAAAAGCTGCAAAAGAATCATTGTGAATTCTCTGCAGGATGCAAGCAAGAGAGGATTAACAAACTGAGATATCACCTTTCTGATTCTCTCTCAGTTCTTGTAAAGTGTTATATTTAATGCTAAAACTCTGTGAAATGCAAAATAAGGAAATTTTCTTTCTTTCTGTCCTTCCTCCTGCCAACTCAAACCAACCCAAGACCACTGTGCCTGCCATTTCCCAGCTCTTATCCCTACCAGACACATATCTCTAGGTACGCCTTGTTCCCAGACTTCAGATCACCTGAGGATTGAGACACTGGGATCGATGCAGGAGGTCATCAGCCTTTCCATCCCAATACCCCTACCAACGCTTTTCATGTGGTTGTTTTGAGGAAGACTGGGGTAAGACAGCACTCTATTGGTTTACCATTTATTCTTGAAACTTACTTAGGAACACTACTGAAGTCATGACTCTTTTCTACTGAAACTTAACAAAGCCAGAATCAGAATATATCAGTAGTCAAGCTAAGCATCTTCACTTAAATTAGAGCTATATGTGCTGATAGTTTGCAGTCTCCATGGAGGATACCTCAGCACTGAGAATGATGAATAAACCCAACTCATGTGAATACCCTGTAGCCTCAGAAGCCAACAGAGCCATTAACAGCTGCTAATCCCCACAAAAGCAAGATGGACATTTAGAGTATCTATCTGATATCTTCTGTCAGCCAAATAGTTCTTCACAGTCCAAAACAGTGGAAGAGAAAGGGAAAAAATGCAATTTTGGGGCCAAAGTCATGCCTGTCATACCTTTGCTGAGGGCAACAGAGGTACCCCTGGAATAAGAGCTGAATGATTTAAAATATTTTATCACTACACAGAGGGCAGAATAAGGTACAGGGAGAAAAAACAACTCTTCTTATCCCTTACGAAGACTGAAATGAAGGCCGAGACATTCATTATTTACAGAACACCATGTAAGCCATCATGAGATGTTTGGTTTTAACCCCAGCAGCATTTTACCCTGAGAGTGTTTTTCATAATATATTGAAGGAAAATTGCATGAATTTTTTGTTCTTATTCTGCTTTTCCCTGGAGGCATTGTACTACATTGGGATTTTGACAGGTGCTTCATTTTGGAAGACTTTAAAGATCACCTGCATGAACTGATAAGGAGTTCTTGACAACTCCTGGCCACGCAGGGTTATGGGGAATGTGGGACAGGAGAAAGCCAACACCTCTGTGCGCCATGACACTGCTTGCCAGGAAGGGCATAACTGTGTGGAACAGAAAAACCATACACTGGCATGGATAAGAAGCTTTTCAGCAGAGTAAAAGCTGATAATAGTAAGTAGGAGGTCAATTTGCATTAATTAGCTACCATTCCCAGTCATCGGCACAGTGCTGTACAGTTATGTGTATAATTGGGTACATGAGCCATTTTTGGTGGAGTATTTGTCCATCCAAACCCAAAATCTTTCCATAGAATATGTAATGCTAGCAGTAGTCATTTTTAGTCAGTTTTCATTGATCATTGGTCAATTTAAGAAACACTAATCGTGTGTGGAGGTGGGCTTACAAAGCCTATTTTTGCACAACAGGAGGATCATCTGAGGCCAAGACCTATTTCCAGCAGAGCTTAGCAGGTTCACAATTACAAGCTAAGGGGGCAGCTACCACTGGCACTTACAAAATACTTTATTTGATGCTCCCACCATATGGTTTGACTTCCTCTGAGATCAGGACACTCCAGTTCTCAGTGACTGAAGGAGAAATCTCTGGTTAAGCACAGATAACCCAGACCACACTCAGGTGACTTTTACCACTGGAAGACTGTATTTAAAAGCTCTGTGCCTTTTCTACATCTCACCTTTACAAAACTCAGAGTAACTATTATGTAGATAATGCTGATAGTATCATTGTGAGGTGAATACGGAAACCAAGGAAGAAAGACTGGAGAGAACAAGCAGTGATAGAACCAGGGTTGGAAATTAAGCTCTTCCAAGCATGCACTGCAGTTTCATTTCTGTAAGACATCTAGCAGCACACAGTTATTCCTCTGATGGTGACATTATGAGTACAGAGCCAGCTTCACAATTCATCAAGCTTTATTGTTTGCTGTTGCTGTTCGTAAAAATCATGCACAGAAAATGCAGTAAGAATCTTCCCTGCTAGTGTGTGAATCAATCCAGAGCTGCTGCAACAGGCCATGCGCAGATGGCCTTCTGCAGAGGCAGCTTTATCTGGTATAAGATCCAGCCCTCAGCTGCTTGTCACCACCTCTCCGCCTGAGACAACTAGCCTTGCAGATCCGGTGGTGCAGATAATCACTTTGAGTGCTTCCAAAAAGACAATTGGGTTAGCTTATGCTAATAAATGGGAGATCTGATCTAACCCTGCTGATTTTGTACCAAAAGAGTGAAGATGAATTCTGTCTGCATATCCACGAGGTCAGTCTCCCAAGGTGGAAGAGACATTAGAAGCAGCTCACAGAAAGAACCTCTTCCAGCAGCACAGCTGTCTTTATAATGAGCTTACGTCTACAGCTTCAAATGCAGATCCATCTGTCAATCTGATCAATGGTGTTCCATTAGAACAAGTTAAATATTTCCCCTGCAGGTAATCAATATAGGTGTGAAGTTGTTGGTATTCCCTCTGACTCCCAGAAGGCGGCTGTGCACGAGCTGAGACAGCAAGCATGTAGTTCATGCAGAAAAGAGCAAAATGCCCTTTTTTTTTTTTTTAATTAAATTTCTCTGCATCTTTTCCATGGGAGACATTTTTACACAGACAGCTCCTGTACTGTTCCAAGCACTTGCAGGCCATGAATTAGGCATCACACATACAAACAGTAAAAAGCTTTAGAGACAGTTTTCAGCCACCTCAGCAATATATAAACAAAAGCAGAAGCCAGGCTGTCCTGTGACTGAAGTCCTTGAAGTACTAACTAGCCTTCATAGGACCTAGCCAAGTAGTTCTGGAGATAAGAATAATAAGAACAACAACAAGAAGAAGCAATAATAGCTGCTGACCATACATTTGCCGGGGAGGGGAGCTTCATTCAATGTCCTGGTTCTGGCTAGGATAGAGTTAATTTTCACAAGTAGCCAGGACAGGTGAGCCAAGCTGGCCAGATTATGCTCTGCAGCCATTCAAAGAAATGGGTTTGGGCAGCAGTAGATCTTTGCTCCTCCTTAGCTCTCTGCAAGTCTTACCAACATACTGAGAGCCTTGTGTTTCTATTTCTATGTCTTCAAGAAAACGGACATCTTCTTTGTGGATGGTCTTTGACTCCTTGCCTTCCCCAGCATAATGATGGAGACTGGGCTGGTCCATAAAACAGAAGAGTGAATTTGTTCATGAATGATCACGTTTCTACTATTCTTCAGCTTGGCTAAACACTAGTTCTTTTCTCAAAGGGATGTAGCCTGAAGTTTTATGACAGATAACAGTCATGAATAGTGTAGGAAAACATAGTGGTGAACAAAGAAAGATACAGCCTTTGTAAACACACAGTCTTACAGATGTGTCATGGGAAACAACAAGCGGTGGTCCATTTTAAGGCAGTCTACAATTGTGACTGCAAAAGAAAGCTTATAGCATGTAACGTTCTGCCTACCATGTGTGGCTATCGTAGAGAACTTGATTCCAAGTTCTTTGAATTGAGTTGAATTACATACCTGTTGAATCTTCCACTTGAGTAGTAATGCTGTACTGAAGACATTTTTCCACCACATTTTTACTTCTATTAGCATTTACTAAACAGATAATTGGGGGAGGGTGATGTGACACATGTTATTTCAAAACTTTGGAAGAGTCTTTTCCATCCAGCACACATATTTCTTCTTATCCTTCAGCTTCCTAAGTTTGCTGAAGAGTCAAATATACTATCCAAAGCCACCAAAGATAGTGCCCCCCCAACTCCACTTCTGAAGAGCTAGAACATAACCTCTCTCAAGAATAACCAATATGCTACGAAACATTGAAAGGCTATGGGGATCGCAACATACAGTCAGGACTGCACAGGTAAGCATTTTTTGTTAAATTAATTCACTTGGTATAGCAATGAAAGACCACAAAGTGTTAGCCCCTAAATTTCTCAAAAAAATTAATTTCTTCCATTTAGTAACAAAGGCCACACAAACTGTAAATTATCTGAGGTTTTTCAGGGGGACTGTGCATTAATTTTGATCTTCCTAACCAATAAAAATGTATGACATTATGTCTCCATTAAGGAAGAAGTCCTATGAATCCCCTTATGCTGGATAACTATTATGTGAAAGCAGTTGTCAGATTAACTGGAGAACTAAGTGAAGACATGGAACTAGTAAGTACTGCATTTACTAAGAATCTCATGCTTCTACCACAAGTAATACTGGTAATTACCAGATTCAGCTAGCAGAATTAAGCTTTCCCTTTGATAATACTAAGCTCAGGGCAAGGCTCACTCTAAAACAGAGGCAAAAGTTCAGTATATTAAATCACTCCTGACACAGCTGGTTGACAGAACTTCTGTAATGGATTAATGACTAGTTCAGGGTTTGCAGGGGAGAAAGTTATTGCGATTAACTGCTTATTTTTTATCTTATCATTTAAAGTTGCCACCAACACAACAGCAATTCAAACGACCTTTAGCCTTGAGAAGTATGAGTAACCGCCTCCATAAAACAAGTTGGCAGCTCTCATGTGAACGGTGCAGCACTGCAGAAACTGAAACATTGGCTAGATGTTCAGCTGGTGTTAATCAGGACAACCCCAATGAACTCATCAACTTGCTGTCTTTATTGCACATTGGGTATTTGATAAGCGACCTATTACAATTGCAGACTATTGCCTCCTTACTAGCTATACCAGTTTAAGCTTGGGAGAGTTTCCATGATTCATCCTCCTCCATTTATGTGAGTGATTTGCCTTTCTTCCTTAAGGGTGCATCAGTAACATTATCAGATTCTATTTTAATGCAAAGATTTACTCTAAAGAATGTATAAAACTGTATTGGAAATCTCCATGTTTATTGTCTTCAACAATTATTATATTGTGTGGCCTGTATAAAAGTGAAAAGATATTATTTGTATTAAATGCTACTCATGGAAACAAAGCATAATATGGTATATAAGCATGGCAAATCCAGTTGAGTTGCTTTTTGCTAATGCATCATTACCTGTAATGGCTTAAGCCATTCAGTGACACCTGCATATTCTCATGCAGAGTACACACACACACACATCTAGTTTATTCTGACTTAGCGATTCTGCGGGTAAA